ACGAATTTTAGATAAGTATTCTCACAATAAGCCAAGTGAACAACCTACTCCTACTGTTACGTTGGCCCATGCAGGTACTGTTTTATTTACTGCTTTAAGTGCTATCACGGGGTCTAAGAATATTTGGATGGTCGATTCTGGAGCCACATATCACATTACAGGTTATAGGGAATTATTCTCAACACTTAGTCCTTATGCTGAACACTCTCGGGTTCAAGTTGCAAATAATACCTATGCTACAGTTATGGGTTCTGGAACTATCATTTTATCTGAAAAAATTATTCTTGAAAATGTTCTCTATGTACCTGACATAAAATGTAATCTGCTCTCTGTAAAGTGTTTGGCCCACAAGTTAAATTGCCTAGTTATCTTTGACAAGTCTCAATGTGATTTTCAGGACATAGCTTTGGGGAAGGTGATTGGCAAAGCTAAGGAAAGTAATGGGCTATATCATTTCGAGGGCGATCACATCAGTAAAAGCTATGCAACTGCTTCTACAATTTATTCTAAACCTGCTTCTCTTATGTCTTCTGAGGAAATTTTGTTATGACATTATAGGCTAGGTCATCCAAGTTTTGATTACATGAGAATTTTGTTTCCAAATTCAATGAATAAAAATACTTCTCAGTTTATTTGTGATACCTGTCAGTTTGCCAAACAAACTCGGAATTCTTATCCTCTTAGTTCTTATACTCCAACCCAACCTTTTGCCCTTATTCATAGTGATGTTTGGGGACCATCAAGGGTTGCCACTAATTCTAAAGCAAGATGGTTCGTTACTTTTATTGATGATCATACCCGTCTAACTTGACTTTTTCTGATGAAAGATAAATCTGAAGTTTTTTCACTGTTTACAGTTTTTTATGCCTTTATTCAAACACAATTCAATGCTTCCATTAAAATTCTTTGAAGTGATAATGGGAGAGAATATCTTAACTCTAAATTCCAGCATTTTCTCGCTAAAAATGGCATTCACCACCAAACCTCTTGTGCGTATACACCTCAACAAAATGACATGGCTGAGCGCAAAAATAGATATCTTTTGGAAGTAGCTCGGGCTCTTTTAATTGGCCAAAATGTCCCAAACAATTTTTGGGGGGATGCAGTTCTTACTGCAACTTATCTCATAAATAGAATGCCTTCCAAAGTTTTGAAATTTCAAACCCCTCTCCAAAAATTTCTAGAATTTTTTCCTACCTCCCATCTTATTAATTCTCTTCCAAGCCGTGTATTTGGCTGCACAGCATTTGTGTTCAATGATGACGGTGGGAAATTAGATTCTAGGTCCATCAAATGCATTTTTCTGGGCTATTCTTCCACACAAAAAGGGTATAAATGTTTCTCTCCAGCCACAAAACGGGTTTATATCACAATGAATGTCAAGTTTGTTGAAACACTTCCTTTTTATTCCAAATCACCCATTCAGGGGGAGCAGACTAGTGAATGGCTTATTTGTCCTACAGTGGATACCCCTACTTATCCCATGGATGGGCACCCTATAACTGGAACTCAAACATCACTAGACAGACCTATATCACTAGACAGACCTGAATTTCCTGCAACCGAACCAACAGCTGAACCTGAACCATCCATAAATAGGCCTGAAATCACCTGTCCTCACCTGGAACCACCAAATACCCAATCAGAAACTTAGCCAAACAGAGCTGAAATCCAAGCAGAATCAGAAATCAGACCTGAACCTGCACCTAATACAACCCCGGAAGTAAACCCAAGCTCATGTGGGGATGAAAACAGGGAGAATCAGATTGAGCAGCCAGCACACCAAGAAGATCCCATTACCATTCCGAGGCAGAGCCATGAAACTCTACCCGAGGCTAGTCCTGAAGATCTTCAATGGCCTATTGCACTAAGAAAAGGCAAGAGAAGTTGTACACGGCACCCAATCAGCAGGTATGTCTCCTATGAGAGGCTTAATTCTCAATTTAAGGCATTTGTTACTACTATTGACAAGGAAGAAGTTCCAAAAAATTTCAAGGAAGCTATGACTGATCCAAACTGGAAATTAGCAATTGAAGAAGAGTTGAGGGCCCTAGATCAACATAAAGCCTGGGAAATTGCTAATCTACCTCATGGGAAGTCTGTTGTAGGAAGTAAATGGGTATTTACCAAGAAATATAATCCTGATGGAAGTATAAACAAGTATAAGGCAAGACTAGTTGCAAGGGGTTTCACCCAAACTTATGGGATTGACTATCAAGAGACATTTGCACCGGTCGCTAAATTTAACACCATAAATGTGCTCCTTTCTATTGCAGCAAATCTAGATTGGCCTTTGCATCAATTGGATGTAAAAAACGCCTTTCTAAATGGAGACTTAGAAGAGGAAGTTTATATGGAAGTACCTTTAGGACTGCGTGGTCCATAAAATGAAGACAAGGTTTGCAAACTACACAAGTCTCTATATGGTTTGAAACAGTCCCCTAGGGCATGGTTCGAAAGGTTCACACGTGCCATGAAGGGATTTGGATACAAACAATGCCAAACAGATCATACATTATTTGTTAAACACCATGCTAATAAAATAACAGTGTTGATTGTGTATGTTGATGATATGGTGTTAACAGGTAATGATCCTGAAGAAATTAAAAGCTTGAAGGGAAGACTAGCCACCGAATTTGAGGTAAAAGACCTCGGCAACTTAAGATATTTTCTTGGGTTAGAGATTGCCAGATCACAGAAGGGTCTTAGTGTATCACAGAGAAAATACACTCTGGATTTGCTCAAAGAAACCGGGATGCTTGGGGCCAGGCCTGCTGATACTCCTATGGAGTTCAATTGTAATTTGGAAATTTCTCCTGATGGAAAGTCTGTTAACAGGGAGAGATATCAAAGGCTAGTGGGAAAGTTGATCTACTTGGCCCATACAAGGCTGGATATATCCTTTGCTGTGGGGGTTGTTAGTCAATTTGCAAATAATCCTCAGAAAGAACATATGGAAGCTGTGTACCGTATACTCAGATACCTGAAGAAAACTCCTGGTAAAGGTCTATTTTTCTGCAAAGGGGACAAACAGGATATTGAGATATACACTAATGGAAACAAGAGGGTGCCTGATCTAAAGGGTGATACAAGTATAGAAGTATATATAGATGCAGATTGGGCAGGTGCAATAAGTGACCGACGGTCTACCACAGGATACTGCACGTTTGTCTGGGGAAATTTGGTGACTTGGAGGAGTAAGAAACAGTCTGTTGTGTCAAGAAGCTCAGCTGAGTCAGAATACAGGGCGCTGGCTCTTGGAATTTGTGAAGGAATCTGGGTAGTTCGGTTGATCAAGGAACTGGGTATAGAAGTAACCACACCAATCAAGATGTGGTGTGATAGTATGGCAGCTTTAAAGATTGCAAACAATCCTGTACAGCATGATCGAACAAAGCACGTTGAGATTGATAGACATTTTATCAAAGAAAAAATTGAAGCTAAGGAAATTGATCTCTCATACATTCCTTCTGGAAAGCAGGTGGCAGATGTGATGACTAAGCCACTTGTAAAAACAAAGTTCAATGAGCTCACAAGCAAGCTGGGAATGCTCAACATTTATTCTCCAGCTTGAGGGGGAGTGTTGGAAGTGGGAGTAGTTCTTTGTTTCTGGTTTGACTAAGTAACAGCCTTTTAGGGTTAATTATCTTTATTATCTTTATTATCATTATTTCCGTGTTTCTAGGGATCATAGAATTATTCTGTTTCCTTTATTATGTTTTTCCATATTGTATCTTAGGAAGATCTCGGATGATTCTGTGAGATCTCCTCCTCTCTCCTATAAATATAGCGCTCTGTACAGTGAATAATATATACCATTCGGCGCACCATATTGTTCATAAACAATTTGGATACAGAGATGACAGCCATGCAGCATCAAAAGTCACTTCCAAAACCTAAAGGGAGCAACAATAATTATGGGAAATATGCTTATGAAGAATTAGACTATGAAGACCAAGAAAAACAATAACTTGGAGAAAGGAATATGGTGGAAAATATGATCTGATTGCTTCTCAACTCGCTTCCTTATGCCTTGAGGACAAGGCTTTTCTCCTGGAGGAGGGTATTGATAGGAACTAGCACCCTTTACTAGTATTGTGTTTTATGTTTTGTCTATTATGTGATGTTGTATTGGCCATCACAAGTGTCTTATGTCAGTTATTTTAAGTTAGTGTCAGTTTTACAAATGTCTTATGTCAGTTATTTTAAGATAATGTCAATTAATGTTAGTTTTATATGTTTAGGAAAGAGTAGTTATTTGCAGTTACTGTGTTAGGCTATAAATATTAGACATGGATGAATGAATGATTATACAATTTCCTAACTTTCTCCTCTGTTTCCCTAGAATTATATTCTGGTTCTAGCCTCTCCCTTTTCTCTCTCCCTTCCTTTCTTCTTTTCTCTCTATTTCTTTCATTCTTCTTCAGATTCTGGTTCTAGAGTTCTTCTTCCCTACTCTTTCTCTTCTCTCTCTTTGCCTTTTCCCCTTTTTCTACTTCTATGTTCAAGATTCCAACACAATCTGCCAAAATCTCAATCAAAGATGTAATATCATATACTCATAATCATCCAATCCAATATTAGTGTAATTTCCCATAAAAGACAATTAAATGTCATACAAATTCGATGTTAACCATAGCAAATTAGAGGTTTATCAACTACCATTCACATATTGAGTGTTGTGGTGTAAAGGAACCTATGGTTTAATGGAAGCTGTAAAATTGGGTATTTTTATCTTGTTTGACGTGGAATTTTAATGACAATCTTTCTTTTCCTGTTGCAGATATGATTTAATTATGGGTGTGTACTTTCAATAGCTAAAATATTTGGTTAATCTGACTTCTACTCAGTAATAGACTTTGCTACTACATGTGATAATTGTGCAGAACAACAATGCATTTTGTTGGAGTAATAAATTTGGGCCCCCTGTCCTCTCCTCCCATGTTTGGACATGCTCAAAGAGTTTGTTGCTATCATGATATCTCAACCTTTTTTTGTAGGTTGCGTTACCCAGCAGATCTTAAATATTGCAGACATGAGATGGCTTTGGATGGTAGTGGGAGGAGACTCTTAGTAACGTCAGGTTCAGTAAGAGCACCCATATATCAGGTTCAAGTTTATACTCTTGCCTCCTTTCTAAATATGAAGTCAAGTTCGTTGATAATTGAAATTTGCCGAAGAGAAAAATGATTCTCAACTTGTATTATTCATGGTAGGCAAGGTAGTACATAGATAGGCTAATTAGGTTGTGAGGATCGAATTTGATCAAGGAATAATCAATAGCTAGATTTGACTGCTAGAATCAAGGAAATAATAATTACCTGAAAGGGGGAAAAAAAACAAAATTTAAATTCAAAGTAATCAAGCTTTTTGAACTTGGGCTTCTTGGTCCACTCCTTCCAACGCTCCCCCTCAATCTAGAGAAAGATGTCTATCATTCCCTGCTTTGTCAACTCTTCAAACCTAGGCCTGGCAATTGACTTGGTGAGTATATCTGCCACTTGATGTCTAGTGGGAGCGTAGCTCACTTCTGCAATTCTCCCGTGTTTTTCCACTGATAAAATGACAATCAATCCTGTTTTCTCACGTTGAACAGGATTCTTTACGATTTTGATTGTTGCCATGTTGTCACATAAAACCTGCATTGGGCCTTATTTGTGGAGTATGTAAATTCACTCATATATCTTATTTCATATGATCTGAGTACAATTTATAGAGTCCGGATGGGAGAGTGCAATCCAGTTACAATCAATAATAATAATGCAAAGAGATTACAATCAATCAGTAATAATGCAATATCACAAGAAATCAGGAAGTTATTCTAGGTAATTAATAGAGTAAATCAAGGGAGAAGATGGGGGAGAGGATCACGGCTTCTAACACTCCCCCTCAAGCTGGAGAGTAAATGTCAACCATTCCCAGCTTGCTCCGAAGCCCTTCAAACTTGACTCTGGCTAACGGCTTGGTCATGATGTCAGCAATCTGATCAGTTGAACGCACATAGTTCAAGTTAATGGTGCCATCTTCGACCTTTTCTTTGATGAAGTGCCGATCAATGTCAACATGTTTTGTTCGGTCGTGATACACAGGATTTTTGGTCATTTCAATGCTGGCTTGATTATCACACCAGAGATTCATAGGTCCTTCATAGGAAATTCTCAATTCCTTCAGGAGTCTAATCACCCACATTCCTTCACATACCCCGAGGGCTACAGCTCTTAGCTCAGCTTCAGCACTGCTCCTTGAGACTACTGTTTGTTTCTTGCTTCGCCAAGTGACTAGGTTTCCCCAAACATAAGTGCAGTATCCTGTGACTGATCTCCTGTTATCCACAGCTCTCCCGTGATCTGCATCAGTGTAGACCTCTATGCTCCTTGTATTCCCCTTTTGAAAGAATATTCCTCTTCCAGGATTGAGTTTGAGGTAGGTGAGGATTCTGTATACTGCTTCCATGTGTTCTTCCTGGGGTTGATGCATAAATTGGCTTACCACTCCAACTGCATAGCTAATGTCAGGCCTTGTATGAGTCAAGTAGATCAGTTTACCCACAAGTCTTCTGTACCTTTCTGAGTTAACTGGTGTCCCGTTTGGTTTCACTTCCAGATTGCATGACTCTTCCGTAGGAGTCTCACTAGGCTTAGCCCCAAGTATTCCTGTTTCGTGGAGTAAGTCAAGTGTGTACTTTCGTTGAGACACACTTATACCCTTTTTGGATCTAGCAACTTCCATTCCAAGAAAGTACTTCATTTGTCCTAGGTCCTTCACTTGGAATTCCCTAGCCAGGGCTTTCTTGAGATGGGAGATAGAAACCTCATCATTGCCAGTTATGACTATATCATCCACATACACAATTAGGATCGTTACCTTTCCATCACTGTGTTTGACGAAAAGAGTGTGATTAGCTTGTCCTTGAATGTAACCAAACCTTTTGATTGCTTTGGCAAACCTGTCGAACCAAGCTCGTGGAGACTGTTTCAAGCCATACAATGATTTCTTCAATTTGCAAACTGAGTTGGGTGGAGCTATTACTCCATCTGGAATTTCCATGTATACTTCCTCCTCAAATTCCATTTAGGAAAGCATTCTTCACGTCTAGCTGATGTAGAGACCAGTCAAGGTTAGCAGCAAGGGATAGGAGTACCTGGATGGTGTTGAATTTCGCCATAGGAGCAAACGTTTCTTGATAATCAATCCCATAGGTTTGAGTGTACCCTTTAGCCACTAATCTTCCTTTGTACTTGTTGATGCTTCCATCAGGATTGAATTTAGGGGTGAAGATCCACCTACAGCCCACTGCTTTCTTGCCCTTAGGAAGTGTGGTAATATCCCACGTGTTGTTTTCCTTCAAGGCTCTTAACTCCTCATATGCAGCATGTTTCCAATTAGGATCTGTCATAGCCTGTTGAAATGTTTCTGGAATCTTCACCTGTGAACTATTCACTACAAAGGTTTGCATTCGCGCAGATAAATTGCCATAGGAGACAAATTTTTGAATAGGATGCTGAGTACACGATCTTACCCCCTTTCTGAGTGCAATAGGCCATCCCAGCTCTTCAGGATCCAACTCCGGATTGGAATCATGTTGCTGCCTTGGAATGGAAGGAACCCTACTACCTGATTGAGAACTTGAGTGCTCTGTCACCTCTGCATCAATTTCAGCATTGGTTTCCATTGGGTGAGGAGTGTTTGTGGTGTTTTGGTGTTTTGGAGAAGGTGTAGGACTAGGGGTTTGTGATTCCGGTTCGGGGATTTCTTCTTGAGGTGTGGAAGATTCAAGGGGGTTAAGAGGTAGGTTGGAGGTGGTTATAGGTTCAGGTGTAATTAGCCATTCTACTCCACAGTGCTCCCCCTGAATGGGTAATTTGGGGTAGTAAGCGTCATCCTCGTAAAAGACGGTATCTTTGGAGATGATGAGTTTTCTAGTAGTAGGACTATAACACTTATACCCTTTTTGGGTGGAGGAATACCCGAGGAAAATACATTTTTCTGCTCTAGCACCTAGTTTGCCTCCATCATGTTTATGAACAAAGACAACACACTCAAAGATCTTTTGGGGAATGGAATTGATGATAGGTGAGGTGGGGTAAGTCTCGAGGAATTTCTGAATAGGGGTACTGAAATGGAGGATTTTGGAGGCCATGCGATTGATAAGGTAAGCTGCGGTCAGTACAGCATCTCCCCAAAACATATTCGGAACGTTTCTTTCCATCATAATAGCTCGAGTTACTTCCAAAAGATGTCTATTCTTTCGCTCAGCAATTCCATTTTGTTGGGGGGTATAGACACGAGGTTTGGTGATGGATTCCTTCCTGCTCAAGAAATTCCCTAAAGGCTCCACTCACGTATTCTTTGGCATTGTCACTTCTCAAAACTTTGATGGGAGTTTGGAATTGGGTTCTCACAAACGAGCAAAAGTTTTTGAAAATTTGTAAGGCTTCGGATTTCTCTTTCATAAGGTAAACCCATGTGACCCGGGTGTGATCATCTATGAATGTGATAAACCACCTTGTGCCTGTTCGTGTGTTGGTTTTGGCAGGTCCCCAAATGTCGGTATGGATCATTGTGAACGGGGCAGTAGGTTTGTAAGTATGTTTGGGATAAGAGGCGCGAGTTTGTTTTGCAATTTGGCACGTTTCGCATTGGAAAGGAGAAGAATTTTTATTGAATAAAGTTGGAAACACATGCTTCATATAATCAAAGCTGGGGTGGCCTAATCTTAGATGCCACAACATTACATTTTTATTCTGAGAATTGGAGCTAACCATAGCTTTCTTTACTCCTGCTATCTTCATATCCTTTCCTTCAAAGTAGTAGAGTCCATCCCATTCTTTAGCAGTCAAAATCTTCCTCCCCGAGGTCGAATCCTGAAAAACACATTTAACATCATCAAAGATCACCCGACATACGTCCCCTTTAGTTAATTTGCTCACAGAAATAAGATTGCAAGTAAGAGCAGGGACAAACAAAACATTATGGATTTCCAGATCTTCAGATAGAGCCACAATGCCAACACCCTCAACTTTCGTATATAGTCCAGTTGCTACTTTTACCCTAAGGTTCTCATGGCAATATTTGAGGGATTTGAAGGACTTATTACCAGTCATGTGATCCGTAGCACCGGAGTCAATAATCCAAGTCTCATCACTAGTTACCATTGCATTAAGGGCTATAATGGAGTTACCTGACTGTATCAAGTTCACGTTGGGAACAGATTTTGACTTGTTTTGTTTTTCAAGTATCTTACGAAGCATTTGAAGCTCTTCTCTGGTCAACTAGTCTCCATCGTCACCTCTTTCTTCAGATGAGGTGTGGTGGCTCTTTCTATCTTCTCGTTTCTGCTTCCCTTGGGTTGGTTTTCCATGTAGTTTCCAACATTCATCTCTGGTGTGCCCTCTCTTGTTACAATGATTGCACCACTTGTTCCCTCTCTTCTCAGGCCCCTCTGATGTCTGGAACCCTCTCGTCACCAATGCCGAGCCCTCTGCTGGGGTCAGATTACCTTGGGTGAGGTGTCTTCGGCTTTCTTCGAACTTAACCATACTGAAGACTTCAAATAGGGATGGCAGAGGTTTCAGTCCCATAATTCTCCCCCTCACTTCTTCAAACACATCATTCAAGCCCAACAAAAATTCATATGTTCGTCCCTTTTCCACCAACTGTCTATAGTAATTAGCATCATCTATATCCTTCCAAGGATGTACTTCAAAGAGATCCAATTGCTGCCATATCTTTGTCAGAGTACTGTAGTATTGTGTTACAGTTAAGTTGCCTTGCTTCAGATCTTTGAGTTGCCTCTTGAGATCTAATAAGGCTGCAGTGTTGTCGAGGGTAGAGTAGGTCCGCTTAGCAGCATCCCAGATTTCCTTGGCTGTGCTTGCAAGAAGGTATCCTTCACTGATTTTGAGGGTCATTGAATTGCACAACCAAGACATCACCTGATTATTTTCAGCGAACCAGGTGTCAAATTTGGGGTCATTATGTGAAGGTTGTTGTGCTTCTCCATTGATATACTTCTCCTTACGCTTCCCACGCAGATACATTAAGACACTTTGAGACCATTGGAGATAGTTGCTACCATTAAGTTTGTGAGATACCCCCATAGCTTGAGGTTCAGTGGCTATTGTCAAGTCTGATTCTGCAGTGGAGTTTTTAGAAGGAGTAGCTTGAGTATTAGAAGATGTACCGGACATGAGGGCCCTTGGAATATTGCGAACAGATCCAAAAAGTGGTGGAAATTCTAGGTCATCCATTTTCTGGGTCTCTGGAAGATACTGGAGGTCTCTGGCGGCGGCGCGTGATAGGGCGTGGCGGCGTGTGGACTTCACGCGCAGTGCTTGTGTCGGCGCGTGAGAGTCACGCGCAGCTCCGTTCGACGTCGGCTTCTGGGGACTAGCCGATCAAGGGACGCCGGTGAGGACTGGAGGGGTGGTGTCGTCCACGCAGCTCTTCTTGCATTAGTTTGAGGACACCTCACTCTCTCTCTCTCCCCGCGCTGTCTCTCTCTCTCTGGCTCACAACAGACGTTTACGGAGCTTTTCTGGGTTCAGACCGAACCCAGTGCTCTGATACCATATTTGTGGAGTATGTAAATTCACTCATATATCTTATTTCATATGATCTGAGTACAATTTATAGAGTCCGGATGGGAGAGTGCAATCCGGTTACAATCAATAATAATAATGCAAAGAGATTACAATCAATCAGTAATAATGCAATATCACAAGAAATCAGGAAGTTATTCTAGGTAATTAATAGAGTAAATCAAGGGAGAAGATGGGGGAGAGGATCACGGCTTCTAACAGGCCTTCATAGTGATGGGGCCTTAAATTGACTGGATCTGACCCGTGAAGAATTATAAGATGGTTCTGACCTTCCCTGGAAGGAGGCAGCCCCTTGGGTTCACTAAATACATCAGCAAATTGTGAGAAAAGCTTCTGCACTCCCTGAACAGCACCTAACTCTAACTCATCTTGCACACATTGGAGATTATTCTCTCCACTTTCCACCAATCACAACAGAAAAAGTTGACCACCATCCTCTAAAGACCCATCAACCTTCTTAACCCACGTACTATTCGTTGTGCTGGCTGCAATGTACACATTATACCATTATACCAAAATGGCATAGCTAAAGTGTCATAATTCCATGAAGCCTGGTGAACTGTATGCTTAAGCCAACACAGCCTCAGGACTATATCATATTTCTTAATTCCCATGACTCTCAGATCCCACAGGTATTCTTCCCCTTACATGCGCCATTTGAACCCCTCCACATATCTTCAACCTACCCCCACTAGCGATCTCTGCATCTGACATAACATCAAACTCTTCCTTCCACCCCAACTGCTTTGCCAAAGCTCAGTCCAAATAGTCATGCGTAGCACCATTGTCAATAAGAATTTGGACTGGCGTTTTTCCCACATGACCTTGAATTCTCATGGAGGACGCCCCTGCACTGCCTTGTATTGCATGTAAAGAAATCTGCATATATACCTTTGGCTCTTGATCTTGAATATCTTGTCCAAGCTTTGTGGGCTTGGGTTCATCTTCTCCTTTACCCAGCTCCAACTCAGTCAATTGGAGCTCCATGCATTGTTGTTGGGGATACTTGCGCCCCTTAGAATATTTCTGGTGACAGTAGAAACATAGGTTGTGTTATGTGGTTCTCAACTTCCTCAGGCGGGTTGTCCCTTGAGAAGAAACTCGTGAACTTGAAGAACCCAAACCACTCTTCATAGGCACTGTAGTGGGCTTTGCCGAGTTGACTATTCTGCCCCTAAAGGTCTGCATCCCACTCCACACGAATGGCATCCAGGAATAGTGTCACTTCCCTTGTGTTTGTGTTGCGTCATTAAACCCCTTCTAACCTCCTTTTGTGTCTTCTTCTTGACGCAGATTTATATCATGTAATTTTGCTATACTTCTTCCTCCCTCATAGTTCTTAGCTGCAGGATTCTTGCTTAGCAAATTCATTGCTGGGACCCCTCATATAGCCCTGAACAATATAATCTTTGGGTAGTCTCAATTTACGCCAAATGGCATCAAACTTGTCATTGTAGTCATCTAGCAAACCTGTTTGTCTAAGCTTCTTTAAATCTCACATGGAGCCTAGTAAGTTGGTCCAAATCTATTCTTGAGGTCGTCTTTATATTCTGGCCATCTTATTCAACGACCCTCCACGTCCTGTTCAAGCGATTGATGCTAGAGGCAAGCCTTTTCGTCCAATTGAATGCTTGCCGTAGTCACTTTCCATTTGTCCGGCGTTTCATCCAACTCAAAATACCTATCGCTTTTCTAGATCCACACCACAATATCTGAGTGTTGGAATTTAGGAAAGTCCAATTTTGCAAGCCTCATAGGAGGTTGATAATCCTTAAGCATCTGCGCAGCCTCTTGGGTGTCAAGGAGGTCCATTATTCCCACCATGATTGTCCGACTCCCTATCTTGAAGAAAGGAATCCATTTGGTTGGAAAGAGCCCATGTGGTGGCAGGCAGAGCACAAAGCTCATGTAGGTCTCAGAGCTCATTGTTGATGGCTTGAAGCTTGAAACCTTTGATCGTACTCTTCAGCCACCTGTTGTAGTGCTGCTTGCGAATGTGTGGAGGGCATATAGGCTGAGGTCTATCCATTTTGTGGTTTGGATAGAAAATGGAAGAAGAGAGGTAGGAGAAGAAGAGACAGATAATTCTGAATAATAGTCTTGATTAACTTCCAAAAACTGATCTGCAATTACAACTATACCTTACTATTATTCTTTTTATCCTAACTAACTACCTTATGATGTATTCTTCACTGTTAATACATCGTAAGGAAAAAAACAGTTTAAATTCAAACTAATCTAGCTTTCTGGGTTTGGGTCTACTCCTTCTAACAATAATAAATTATTTTGCTCTATAGAAAATGAATTAGAATTCCCTGGGTGTCATATTGGCTTGACTTGCATCACCGGTCTTCACATGATGGATGGAAAACTTATGATTAAACTGGGGAAAAATGCAAACACACCTTTTAATTTGAGCCATTTGCTAAACTTCAAAAGGTAGAAAATACCCCACTTTAACTATCATTCCTGAAGATCTAAACACTGGTGTATCAATTTTGCTATCACCCATCTCGACGAAGATGTCAATTTATATCTGGTTTGTCATGTGATACGCTTCAATTCAATTGGGAATGACATATTACACAAACTGAGCCTTTGTAAAAATGGGATATAACTTCCTGGTGGTAATGTTTGTGGATGATATTTTAGTTTTTGAAGTTCTGCGTGATAGTTGAAAAGTGATAAATCCATGTACCCCTGTTTGTTACATTCATCGTGCTCGATGTTGGGTATGGTGCTTTTACTCGTACGTCTCACTGTACTGTCTCAGGTTCAAGGTGGTCGAAAATACCCCACTTAACTATCATTCCTGAAGATCTAAACACTGGTGTATTAATTTTGCTATCACCCATCTCGACGAAGATGTCAATTTATATCTGGTTTGTCATGTGATACCCTTCAATTCAGTTAGGAATGACATATTACACAAACTGAGCCTTTGTAAAAATGGGATATAACTTCCTGGTGGTAATGTTTGTGGATGATATTTTAGTTTTTGAAGTTCTGCGTGGTAGTTGAAAAGTGATAAATCCATGTACCCCTGTTTGTTACATTCATCGTGCTCGATGTTGGGTATGGTGCTTTTACTCGTACGTCTCACTGTACTGTCTCAGGTTCAAGGTGGTCGAAGTGGGTGGAGAACGCTTGCTCATGCAGCCTCTGTTACAGCTGTTGATTGGCATCCGATATTGCCCATTTTTTTGACAGGATCTGCCGACAATTCTGTCCGAGTAACATCATTACGATAGCTTTTTGTCTAGAAGATTGTTTCATTCTTTCTTTAGTGAGCATTTGAGTACGTTGTATTTCATTTCTTCATTTTAAGATGTTGGATCTGTTTTCATATTCAGTTTGTGCATCTTGCTTTAAAGCATTTCTAAATATCCGTCAGTTTGATGAGCAAAAGTATGTAGAACTGGTAATATGAGTTGGACCCGTACAACCCTCCAAAAATAGTCTGTTAGAGCTAGCCAAAAGTCAACCCATTAATAAACGAGTTTTTTTAACCCGCACCGCTAGGCTCGCAACTTGTTGCGGGTTAGCCCTTATTTTTTTTTAAATTTTAATTATCATAATTATATTATTATATATTATATCCTATCTAAAAAATTTAAAAAATACTTATATAATTTATTTGGTGTTTTCAATCAAATATTTGAAGGAAAAAAAATTGTATTATTATTATTTTTGGATATTGTATAAGAAAAAAATATTAAAAAGTAACAATTTCATTAGATAAAAAAAAGGTGTTGATGGGCTCCCGAGCTGTTTTCAAACGAGTCTTTTCAACCTGATCTATATGGTTCAACTCGCCAAAAGGCAACCTATGGGTTCATATTATCAACCCTAAAGGTATGCACATATAATTGACGTCGTTGCTCATTTCTTGGTATGCATATATACCCATATTTATTCATGGGAGTTCTACAATCTTTTTGGACTATTAATTAGCTAAAAGATCAGATTTCTAGCGGATTGGTATTTTACCAAGCAAGCTTGCCAAAATGTCACTTTTTGTTGTAAAAATTATTTTTGCATTTTGTTTTCTTTTAATAAAATTCATTCCAATTCCTAGATACTTGAAATGAAATATTGAAATAGAAATTATTATAAATAAAATATAGAATCCAAAATTTCAAACATCCCAAATTATTAGACATACATGATATATCATTTTGATGTCTCCATTGCTATATCACTCAATTAAACAAAGACCAATTATAAATGTAATATGGTGGCAACATAGGTCATCTTCTAAGGAGCAATTTAGGGGTTTTTTTTTTAAGATATGAGTTCATGTGATGAAAAATGTGATGCAAATAACCTAGAATCTATATAAAAGTGATATTAAACTGGATGAATGTAAATGTAATTTTGGGGGGATAAAGGAAATTAAATAAAAAGTAAAGAAAATTAAGAAAACAAAAATGAGAGGTTCTTTTCAAGAATGATTAATTGCAAGAAGTGAACTTTTATGGAATCAATTAATTGGATCAAAGGGAGGTGACAAAAGAGAGGAGTTAACAAGTTCAATTACTTGCTTGAAACATGAGAAACCCTTCAGTTCAAAAATTTTTAAACCATTAGAGAACTCATAATGATATAAGGTTAGTTAATTAAACTGATTAAGACTAGTGAGAAATAATTCAAATTAATTTTAAAAATTATGCTTAGAATTATCTAATTAAACAATTAGATCATTTACCCACTCAATTGAACAATCAAGAGGAAAAAGAATCCAAGTTTGCAATTCAACTCACATTGATAATTAAATTCATAATGAAAACTCAATTATAAATTTAATTAACAATGTAGAGGTTCATAAACATAAAATCTAGCAAATATCTTAGTACAAATATAATCTCGGTATGAATCCACTCTGAATTAAAAATATAAATGAAATATCACTTCCTTATGGTCTTCAAATGTTAGCCTTAGGCTCTAACTTTCCTCATACTCCTTCCAAATTGTCTCCCAACCAAGCTCAAACTCCCATGGATGGCATGAAACTCATGGAATGATGGAGGATGGGGATAAGTGAATAAATGGAATGAAGATTACTGAGTGAAGAGGAAGGTAGCCGCCTCGTCTATTAATATGGATTATATTCAAATATAATATAATCAATATCAAAATTAAAGATTAGATAAGGCAAGGAATTGAAAAAATTAAATAAGGCAAGGGATTGAAATTTTTTTTAAAAATTAACTTTTCAAAAATATGAGAATTGACTTGAAAGAAATAGGAAATATTAATTTCAAGCCAAAAAATAAGAAATCACAAAATATTCATATTTCAATCCAAAATCTAAAATTTTATGAAAAATCCTAAAATCAATAATTTAATCCAATAATGCATAAAATATCTATTTAAGCTTAAGATATCATTTAAATCCAAGATTAATGTGAAATAAAATATATAAAAATTGAGTTTTATCAGCATACATCCTAAATTAAAACATGATAAATCAAAATCAATAATAACACAAACACAATGCCACTAATCATATCAAGTACCTAACCATCAGTCATCATTTAATATTGATAGGGTTTGAAGCATGATATGAAAATATGAAATTATTTGGTTGAGCTTGAGAAGCAGAGCCGCCTTCTTTTTGCTCAGCTAACTCCACCACAAATAAAATTCATAATACAAAGTGAAAGATATATTACACTATGGTCATTTGAAATAATGAGAATGAGATAAAAAAACTAAAAAAGTAAACAAAATTATAGCTGAAAGGAGGAAAAGAATTACAAAAAATAAAATAAAATAAAACAGGCTCGGGCTTGATGGCTACAAGTTCAAAAGATCAGTTTTAACACGGCTCTAGTGTGGGGAGCGAGCTTCGCTAGCATATTTAAAGAGTGATTTTATATGAGAAAACAAGCAAATCAAATTTGACCGCAGCCGCCCCTTCATTTCCTCTGACTAATGGACTTCGATGGCAACGCTCCATCTCTCTCGGCTAATCGAGTTAGCAGCCCTCACACCTTCAGTTGAGCTTCCCTCGTACTACTCTCTGAAATACCACCATCTCTGTGAAGTTGCGAACTGTGGCGGAGCCACATACAAGTTAGTGGGCATATGCCTCCATTACATGTTGAGAATATAAATTTTCAGATTATGCCCTCTCTTTCTTTTAATATTTTAAACTTTGAACCTATTTAGTCATCCTTCTAACGCAAATCCAAAGACTTTAGCCAAAATTTTAAAGCTTAGTGGCTTAAAATTACTTGTTATCTTTTGTTAAAAGCTCTATTGACTAATCAGATCTTAGATGACCTACGAGGATTAAGTATAGTGAAAGGGGTTGGTCCTTCATAAAATGATAAACCAATATTTGAATCCTAGTTGAGAAAGGTGCTCACATTTAGTGTTTAACAGTGTCTTAAACAAATTATATTTAATAGGGTAATACCCGTGCATAGTAAAACAAAAAAAACAAAAATCTCTGATATAAAAATACATTTGAACATTTCGAAATGGAGCAAAAATTCCTTCTACATGAATTCCTCTAGACTTTAGTTATCTTTTCAATACATATTTCTTTTGGGAAAATTCCAAAAAAAAAAAAACATTGATAGTTGAATTTCCAAATTTCAAAAGGTCACTTGATTTTGCGAAATTTCAAATCAGTCATAATGACAGATTTTGAATTTAAAAATGTTGGCAAATTTACAATATTACTCCATTATTATTATTTTTTAAAAGCCTCAAGTTATCCTTACTGGCTGCCTTGATTTGACTTGCGTCTAGCCCATATTGTGGGTCAAAAATCAATAAATTTTTAGACCACAGATTGTAGTTAGCTACAACCTCGAGTCGTCTCAAAGAAGCCTTATTCATTAATTACCTAGGAAACTAACTGACTCAATGAAGTTAAAATTAAAATTGGAGTTTTGAAAATCATTTCAAGTAAAATAAAACAGTGTAGTGAAAGAAATGTTTTTTAATTTTTGGGTGCCACATCTTGCCAGATTTGACCCTGAGAATATGAATAATAAATTAGATAGAGGGTCAAATAGTAAAGTAGACTCAAAGGTAGAACAACTTTTGAGTTAAGCTTCGACTCTTGTCTGGACTCATATTTTTGAAATATATCAGTCCAAAAAAGATAAAATGAGGAAATTTGTGAAAAATTTAGAACATTTCTGAAAAATAGTAAAAAGATAAATTAGAGGTTTTGAAACCCTATTTGAGTCCCTAGAGGTGGAAATGACATGAAAATAAATTATAACAAAATCCTCTGTAAACAGAGATTTTTCGGGAAAAATAGTGAAAAATTAGCCAAAAATAATTATTTTAAACATGTAGAGGCCTCAATAATTCCTAAAAAATATGAAAAATTATTTAAGGATTTATTGGAGTTTATAAAATTGTTTCTAGGCACTGGAGGTGAAATAATTAATTTTAGAATATTTAATTACTGAAATCTCATCGGTAAAGCTTGATTTTGGAGAAAATTCAAAATAAATAATTAGAGGTGGAGATAAATTTCCAAATTTTTGAGGATACTTTCCTATATTAGAAAGGAGTTTTTGATGAAGAGAAATAAATTTTTGGAGGCCCAAAACTATTTTTGTAAATAGTAACCGATATAGTGAGTTTGGTCAAAAATTGATATTTATGAGTGGGCCCCGCTTTTTCTTCCTTTTTAAATTAGATTTGGGCTTCATTTTGAGCCAAGAAATCCTAAAAATTTTGTGCAAATGGTGGCCCAACAATTAAGGAGTCTTAAGCCCAAATTAAATCAAAATATTAGTGGAATATTTTAGAATGAGGACACTTGGCAAGATCAGAAATTTTGGAGTATTTGATGGCAGCCATATGGCCATCTTGCTAGCCAATTTTTTGCCACAATTGCAGAGGGGAGGCTGGCCCAAAAATTTCTATAAATACCCCCTTATTTTGAATAATTTGGCCAAAATTAGAGAGCTTAGAGGAGGTGTTGCCAAACTGAATTCTTGACCTTAAGGGAGAGCCTTTAACTATGTAATTAGAAGAAGAAATGTCAAGTTTTGATCAAGGATTAATTGAGGTAAGTTTGAGCTTGATTTTGCTTGAGTTTAAAGCTTGTTTTGGTTAGAAATTCAAGTTGTAACCTAAGGTTGTTATGCTGTCCAATTCAATTAGATTGAATATGGTTTAGGGAAGGATAGAAGCCTTGAAGATGAGTTGAAATTATCATGTTTAATTGATATTTGGATTGAATTTTGGAAAAAATCAAAGTTAGGGTTTATATAGCCCTATTTGGCCACTATGGTTTCTTAAGGTAGGAGTTTGTTTCTTGAGGTGGAATTTATGATTGAGGGGATGCCTGGAACGGGTCTGATTTTCAAAGGATCCTCATCGTATAACTCCTAATCAAATGGTTGGAAGTATAGTAGACCCAATAGAAATAG